GGTTAAGAACGGTTTCAGGTTAAGAACGGACCTCCAGAACAAATTAAGTACTTAACCCAAGGTACCACTGTACTTGGTGTTTTATGCAAACCGCTTTGAGATCTGTTCTAGAAAGCAGCACAGAAATGAAGTGAACAACAACAACAAACCGCAATACCTCAAGGAACATATGAACCTGCCCGGACCCTGAGATCATCTTCTGAGGCCCTCCTTTGTGTGCCTCCTCCTCGAGAGGTCCGGAGGGTGGCAACACAAAAACAGGGCCTTCTCTGCAGTGGCTCCCCATTTGTGGCATGCTCTCCCCAGGGAAGTTCGCCTGGCACCTTCATTATACACCTTTAGGCGCCAGGCAAAAACGTTCCTTTTTAACCAGGCCTTTGGTTGAGCTGATTTACATCCTATGCCCTTTTAAAATATGGAGGGGGTTTTTGGGGCGGGCCTATTGGGTTGTTGTTTTTATTTTAATTAGGTGTTTTCTGGTTTTATATCTTGATTTTATTCTGTGAACCACCCTGAGACCCCCAGGTATAGGGTGGTATATAAATTCAATAAATAAATAAGGCGATTAGATTATATACCTGAGTTTCTAACACTGCTCAAAACTCTCTCTGCACCACACCATTTCCAAGCCACAACCCTCACTAGTCCTGCACCATAGAAGCCAACTCCTAGGGGCCGGGTCCCTTTGTCCCTCGAATGAAATATTTGGGGGCGGGCCCCAAAGTTGATGGGCACTGCCATTCAGATGGCATGTGATCAATTATGTAGGGTGGGGCTTACCTAGACCCTCCCCTCCTGATATTTTATTCAAGTTGGCCCCTCTGCCTTGCATCATAGTCTCCTCGGGTGTTCCTGCTTCGCTGGTATGTATCCTTGAACTCTTACCTCTGGGGTGGAGAGCAGAGAGATGTGTATTCAGAACCAGGCCACCCTGTGCAAAGCTAATTGCTCTGCCCTCTTTCACCTTTGCATTTTGTGCTGCGTTTGTGTGTGGAAGCCTTCTGCTGTATGACCTACGGAACTCACTGCCACAGGAGCAGTTATGACCACCAACCTAGATGGCTTCAGAAGAGGATTAGACAAACTCATGGAGGAGAGGGTTGTCGGCAGCTGCTAACCATGCTCTGTCCCCACAACTGAAGACGACAACGCTTCTGAATACCGGTTGCTGGAAATCACAGGAGGGGGGAAAGTATTCAAATCCTGCTTCGGGAGTTTCCCACAGGCATCTGGTTGGCCACGGTGAGAACATGATGCTGCACTAGATTGCCTGATTCGGCAAGCACTTCACCTGCCAATCACATCTCCTAATAATAATAATAATAATAATAATAATAATAATAATAATAATTTATTATTAATACCCCGCCCACCTGGCTGAGTTTCCCCAGCCACTCTGGGCGGCTCCCAATCGAGTGTTAAAAACAATACAGCATTAAATATAAAAAACTTCCCTAAACAGGGCTGCCTTCAGATGTCTTTTAAAGATAAGATAGCTGCTTATTTCCTTCACATCTGAAGGGAAGGCGTTCCACAGGGCAGGCACCACTACCGAGAAGGTCCTCTGTCTAGTTCCCTGTAACCTCACTTCTCGCAGTGAGGGAACCACCAGAAGGCCCTTGGAGCTGGACCTCAGTGTCCGGGCTGAACGATGGGGGTGGAGACCCCTATTTCTGCAGCCTGGAAGGTCTGCATCTCCCATCTTTTTAGGAAGCTCTTCCTCACCTTTCCAGGATCTGGTCCTCTCCACGTGGCTCCCTCTTTTCATGCATCACCAGAGCAGGGCAAGATGCAGGCATCTGTACACCTTTGCTACCTGAGTAACAGATAAGTCAGGCTTAAGCCAAGGTTGGCTGTCCCCATATGCATGCTGTGCCATAATTAAACTTGCCTCGAGCCAGGAACGCCATTAAGACGATGTCTCTATTAGTGATGCTGCCATATGGGAGAGTCCTGGCCTGCTTCCTTCCTCACCCTCTGAGAAAAGTGTTTCTAGATCAGCCATAATCTTCCATCTTCTCTCATGTTTCAGCAGGGTGCAAGGAAAACGCTTAACTCACTGATCACCTAACTCAATGATCACCCCAACGGCAACACCAGAAGAAGAAGAAGAAGAAGAAGAAGAAAAGAAGAGTTTGGATTTGATATCCCGCTTTATCACTACCCTAAGGAGTCTCAAAGCAGCTAACATTCTCCTTTCCCTTCTTCTCCCACAACAAACACTCTGTGAGGTGAGTGGGGCTGAGAGACTTCAAACAAGTGTGACTAGTCCAAGGTCACCCAGCAGCTGCATGTGGAGGAGCGGAGACGCGAACCCGGTTCACCAGATTACGAGTCTACCGCTCTTAACCACTAAACCACACTGACTCTCCATGAAGTGTGAAGCAGTCAAGGAAGCAAGCAGATAACGGAGAAAGGAAAAGATGCTTAAATAAAAAACAGAGTACACTGGTACCTGGGGTTACATACGCTTCTGGTTACAGACTCCGCTAACCCAGAAATAGTACCTTGGGTTAAGAACTTTGCTTCAGGATGAGAACAGAAATCTCGTGTGGCAGAGGGAGGCCCCATTAGCTAAAGTAGTACCTCAGGTTAAGAACAGTTTCAGGTTAAGAACGGACCTCTGGAGTGAATTAAGTTCTTAACCTGAGGTACCACTGTACTCAGTTATTGTCTGGTTGCCGACGGGCCATTTGAAATCTCTAACTTTTGCAGAAATGGAAGCAAGAAGTTCCCACCAAAGAAGAGCGGATAAATAAGGTAATGGACTATGCGAAACTGTCAAAAATTAACAGCAAAATTAAGCGAATCTAACGATGAGTGTTTCGTGGAAGAATGGATGCCCTTTTCAGACCATTTAAAGGAATATTACAGTATGATGAACTTGGGAGCAGAATCTGAGCTATGAGCAAAAAAAGCAATGGATTATAATATTGTGGTTGTGATTTGATAGATAGGCTGAGGCAGAAGGGGAAGAAATAAGAATTCCATGAGAAAGAGGGTGAGATGTCAACAAAAATAAAAGGGGGGTGAAAATGTGTTTTGACTGTACATATTTGAAATGTTGAAACTTAATAAAATATACTTGGGCGAAAAATTTGAAATCTCTGACTGTTTTGAGCAAGATGCTTTTTATGTTTCCCCGCCGCCTTCCATAGCCTAAACTGTATAAAGAAGAAGAAGAAATTGCAGGAGAGCAACATCAGAACCCTTAATTCTACCATTAATAATACATTGACCCCGGCATGTCATTAAAAGGTTTTCAGAGCAAGTCGGAGTATCTCAGCAGAATGGAAAGGGCTCAGTCACATGCTTGGGGCACAGCAAAAGCTCCTTTGTGGAGACCACTGGAGTTGCATATACGCTGCTCTGAGGTTTCCAGGAAAGTAAGGGATATTAAGGTGATGAAGAGCAGGTCCCAAATCTGCTGGCTTTCCTAGAAACTTAGGAAGCTGCCTTATAGCAAGTCAGATCCACTAGTCCAACTAGCTTGCCAGGGTTTCAGATAAGGGATGTTCCCAGCCCTACTTGAACCCGAAACCTTCTGCGTGCAGATCAGATGCTCATCTGCTGAGCTATCGCTCTTCCACATCTGTCTCTCTCCCTCCCCACCTTTTTTGGAGTGCAAGACAGAAAAGTCTTCCTGCATGCACTGCAATGTTTGGGATTCATGGTCGCAAGATTTGGCGATAGTCACCCAGGGGCCAACCTGCTGATGGCAATTAATAATCTGCAATGTTTGCAAAGTGCTTTTAAGCGTTCAAAGAGTTTCACGTGATCCCTACAGCCTGGATAGCTCAGTTGGTTAGAGCGTGGTACTGATAATGCCAAGGTTGCAGGTTCAATCCCCGTATGGGACAGCCGTATATTCCTGCATTGCAGGGGGTTGGACTAGATGATCCTCAGGGGTCCCTTCCAACTTAATGAATCGATGATATCAGAACAAGCCTATAAGGCAAGTCAGTCTTACTGCTCCTTCACATAGTGCAGATGGAGAGACTGGGACAGAAGGCGAGAACTTTGCCTAAAGCTACATAGTGAGTTTGTGGCAGGGGCAGGATTCGAACTGGGAGCTCCCTGACTCAGAGCTCAGAGCCCTTCCCCAGGGCTACAACTGTTTTGCACAAGGATACAGCAACTCGGGCTTTCAGAGGATCTCCTGGGCGCTGTGGCTTTCCAGTCGCCAAGACCAAGTTAAAAACTAGGCTGTGGGACATAGATCGCCAGGAACTAATCTCAGCTGCAGAAAAAACATGTTCCCCTCTTTATTTTCGACTCTCTTGGGCGCAGGAATTTAATCTTAATTATTTACCATTTTCGTTTAATCCACAAGAAAGAAGGGTCTTTTCACTGGCTAAGTTCAATTCTAATCCTTCTAACCTTCTTTGGGGTAGGTTTGTGGGTTTGGCAGAAGGAGATAGGATCTGCCCATGTGATGCCCACCTGGTGGAAACTCCAGCTCACATGGCCCTTAAATGTAAAATGTATGATGATCTCTGCCAACAATTTCTAGACCATCTATGTATTCCAACATGGAAACCAGAGACGGAGGTTATGCACTTCTTATTACAGGGGAGAGACCAGGAGCTCACCAAGACAGTAGCTAAGTTCCTCTATTTGATTTTTTGTCGCCAAAGTATGCTACAGGATCCTGCCCTTGCTGGAAACCCACAGAGATGAGGCGGATTACTCGCCTCTTTTGCCCTTTGGCGGGTGACTGTACCATTGGGGTGGCGACGAGATCGCACTGGCCTATCTATTCTGAATGTATTCTGAATGTTCTTATGGGATGCCAATAAAGGTTACTTGACTTGAACAAGCCACACCGGCTCTCCATTGAGAGCTGCTAGTTAAGAAGGACAACCCATGTTCAGAGGCAAGGTAACTCTGAATAGGAGGAAGCTGCTTTATCCAGAGTCAGATCATTGGACCATTTAGTGCAGTACTGCTTCCACAGACTAGCACCAGCTCTCTGGGATTTCAGGCATGGGTCTCTCGCATCCCTACCAGGGGATCCCAGGAATTGAACCCAAGAACTTCCGAATGCAAATCAGATGCTCTACCACTGAGCCACGCAGCGTCTGAGGTCTAACGGGGAAGGCTGTTGATTTCATGCCCTGCTTTGTAGGCATTGGGCTCTTAGAAACACCAAGGCTCTGTTGCTCCAAAGGGCAAGGCTACAGAAGCAATGGGTGGAAACTGCAAGTAATGAGGTCTTGGCTAAGCATTAGCCAAACCGTCCGAAGAACAGTTGGACAGAGGCACAGAAACAGCCTCAGAAAGTGGCAGGGCTTTGCTGCTGGAGGTATTTAGGGCTCTGCTGCTGGAGATATTTAAGCAGAGCATCTTGCATTGTAGATCCTGCATTAAGCATGGGGTTGGTCTAGGGACACAGGTGGTGCTTTGGATTAAACCACAGAGCCTTGGACTTGCCGATCAGAAGGTCGGCGGTTCGAATCCCCGTGACGGGGTGAGCTCCCATTGCTTGGTCCCTCCTCCTACCAACCTAGCAGTTCGAAAGCACGTCAAAGTGCAAGTAGATAAATAGGAACTGCTCCGGTGGAAAGGTAAGCGGTGTTTCCATACGCTGCTCTGGTTCGCCAGAAGCGGCTTTGTCATGCTGGCTGTACGCCGGCTCCCTTGGCCAATAAAGTGAGATGAGCGCTGCAACCCCAGAGTCTGGGGTTAATGGTCACGGGTCCTTTTACCTTTACCTGGTCTAGATGACTTATTGGGGTCTCTTAGAACTCCATACATTATACAGTCCTGTGGCTAGATGGACTGATCCAGCAATGCAGTTCTTAACATTTTCTTCTGCTTTTTTTTAATATTTCAAATTATTCTTTTCCACTACCCGGCACTACTGTCCACAAGTGTGCAATATAAAACATAAAAGGAATACTATCTATCTGCCTATCTATCATCTATGTAAAACTAAGTCCTACTGAGAGTAGACCCGCTAAAATCAACAGAAGCAAGTCATGCCCATTAATTCCAGTGGGTTTACTCTGAGCTACAGCTCACAGAACACGTTAAAGATTAAAAAGCATTTACGTAAAACAGGTTTTAAAAGATTCCATTAAACATAAAACTTGCGTATCCCCAGCCACGAAGTGTTGCCAAAATAAGGAAGTACATCATTGCCTTCAGTAATAAATATTCAAGCTGAGACATAGACAAATGGCAAGAGAATTTTAGCCATGGTGAGTATGAGGTAAGTATTAGCAAAATATAACACACTAAGTATTCCTGGGGGAAAGGGATAGCATAGTGGGTCCTACATGCAAGACAGAACTGCAAGCGGTTTCTTTATTCCAAGGCTACTCATCGGTTGCATGAATCTATTTTTAAAAACTTTTCATCAACTAACTAAAGACGCTGATTAATCAGGCAGCCGAACTTTCTGTAGGCTGTAAGCACTCAAAAACTGCAGATGCGAAGCACCACCCTATTAGTTTTTATAACTTTTTTATCCCAAATGAATGGTGGCAAAGAACAAAACTACTGCAAAAAAAAAATTGAGAACATTTAACAACAGTCACATATCTTCGTGGCTAATAATTTCAAGATTACCAGGAACAGCCTCTTTCAGCCACCAAACGCCTGAGGGAAGAGAAATTTTGCCCAGACACTGAGGTCCAGCGCCGAGGGCCTTCTGGCAGTTCCCTCACTGCGAGAAGCCAAGTTACAGGGAACCAGGCAGAGGGCCTTCTCGGTAGTGGCACCCGCCCTGTGGAACGTCAAAGAGAAAAATAACTACTAAACTTTTAGAAGACATCTAAAGGCAGCCCTGTTTAGGGAAGCTTTTAATGTTTAATAGGTTATTGTATTTTAGTGTTTTGTTGGAAGCCGCCCAGCGTGGCTGGGGAAACCCAGCCAGATGGGCGGGGTATAAATAAATAAATAATAATTAAAGATCCCTCCCGAATGTTAATAATGAGGGAGACTGACACACCTCAACAGGGAGGGCGTTTCACAAACAGGTAGACACCACTGAGGAGACCCTGCTATGGGTCAATGAGGGGAGAGACTCCATCAGGCAAGGCCTCCTTCCACCTGCCTTGCTCCACCCTCTAGTCTCTGCTTCTCAATTTGTATTGTATTATTTTATGTACTGTGGCTTGCCGTTGTTTTATTGATCATATTTTAGAAATTATTTATTGTAACTGTTGAGTGGATTTCTGTTTAACTTTTATATGTTGATATTATTTTATACTACTCTAATTGCTGAAAGTTACTTTTTGACGTAGGTTGCTTATTTTAAAGTTTTGTTTTATTGTGACGTTTTTGTATTGCATTAGATCCTTATAAGGTGTACATTTTTTGTTTCTTCAGCTTGTAAACTGCCTTGAGTATTGTAAGATAGAAAGACGGTATACAAATAAAAAAATGACGATGACGCCCAACCAAACAGCACCACAAACAGGGCTGCCCTTCTGATCATATGGCCCAAGATGGTTGGTCCTGGTGGAGTCAGCTATGTGGCTACCGGAGTCTTGGCACACTAGTACGACCACCTTGAATTGTAGCACCTTTGAATCACAGAATTGAAGAGCTGGGTCATCTGGTCCAACCCCCTGGAAATCAAGGAATCACAGCTAAGGGATCCCTGACAGATGACCACCCAACCTCTGGCTAAAGACCTCCAACGATGGAGAGTCCACCATATCTTCCACTGCTGAACAGCTCTCACCATCAGAAAGTTTCCATGGGAACCTCCTTCCTTGTAATTTGAATCCCATTGGTTCAGGTCCTACCCTCCAGAGCAGAAGCAGAAAACAAGCTCGCTCCATCTTCCATGTGACAGCCCTTGCTCTCAAGTCTTCTCTTCTCCAGAATAAACACACCCAACTCCCTCAACTGCTCCTCCTAAGGCTTGGTTTCCAGACTCTTGGTCCTCTTAAAAGAGGCAATCTCCCTTCTCCCTCAAGCAGCAAGGAACGTCCCATAGGATCACAGAATTCTAGAGTTGGAAGGTCAAGATCAAGACAGGACCTCTTCTTAGACATGCTGGCTACGACATTTGCAGCACCATTGAAAAACAAAATAGCCCTTTTGTTTCAAAACTATTTGTTTCACTCGCATACACAGGCAAGCAAATTCAGCCAGCCAGCCAACAAATATTTAACTGATTGACTGATTGATTTTAATTGCGTGCCAGCCCTAATTTATATATCCTGCTCTTCCTTGGGGGGTCAGTTTTATGCAGTCTCTGCCACGAGAACTTGGAGCAGAATCACAGAATTGTAGAGTCGGAAGAGACCATGAAGATCATGGAGTCCAGGCTTTCCCAAACTTGGGTCTCCAGTTGTTTTTGCACTACAATTCCCATTATCCCTGAGCACTAGTCCTGCTAGCTAGGGATGATGGGAGCTGTAGTCCAAAAACAGCTGGAGATCTAAGTTTGGGAAAGTCCTTCCCCCTGCAATTCAAGAATCTTTAGCCCAAGGTGGAGCTCAAACCTACGGCGCTGAGATTAAGAGTCTCATTCTCTACCGACCAAGCTGCCCCTCAGAGTACTGTATGCACAATCCCCAGGCAATAATAATAATAATAATAATAATAATAATAATATTTTATTTATACCCCGCCCTCCCCAGCCAAGGCCCTCAGAGCAGCTTACAAGCAATAATAAAAACAAGATGAATGATTACAACTTAAAAACAAAAATAAAATACAACATTAAAATAATGGAACATTAAAATATTAAAATGTAGCCTCATCGCAGGAGGAGAAGGAAAAGAAAAAGAAAGAGAGGGAGGGAGGGAATCAAATTGGCTCCAAGCCAAAGGCCAGGCGGAACAACTCTGTCTTACAGGCCCTGCGGAAAGAAATCAGATCCTGCAGGGCCCTGGTCTCATGAGGCAGAGCGTTCCACCAGGCCGGAGCCAGAGTTGAAAAGGCCCTGGCTCTGGTTGAAGCCAATCTAACTTCCTTAGGGCCTGGGACCACTAGGGTGTTGTTATTTATGGACCTTGAGGCTCTCCGTGGGGCATACCAGGAGAGGCGGTCCCGTAGGTACGAGGGTCCTAGGCCGTGAAGGGCTTTAAAGGTCAAAAGCAGCACCTTAAATCTGACCCTGTACTCCACCGGGAGCCAGTGCAGCTTGAAAAGCACTGGGTGAATATGCTCCCATGGCAGAGACCCCGTGAGGAGCCTCGCTGCAGCATTCTGTACCCGCTGGAGTTTCTGGGACAGCTTCAAGGGCAGCCCCGCGTAGAGCGAATTACAGTAGTCAAGCCTGGAGATGACCGTCGCATGGATCACTGTGGCCAGGTCGGGGCGGGAAAGGTAAGGGACCAACTGCTTGATGCGGCGAAGGTGGAAAAATGTCGCCTTGGCTGTTGCTGTAACTTGCGCCTCCATGGAAAGGGAGGCGTCAAGGATTACACCCAAACTCTTAACGGAAGGCAATGGCACTAATTGGGCCCCCGCAAGAGAAGGGAGTTGGTCCCTCATCCCCATGCCATCCCGACCTAGCCATAGGACCTCTGTCTTCGAAGGATTTAGTTTCAATCGGCTCCCACGAAACCATCCAGCCACAGCTTCCAAGCATCTGGTCAGTGTGTTCGGGGCCGAGTCGGTGTGGCCATCCATCAGCAGATAGAGCTGAGTGTCATCAGCATATTGGTGACAGCCCAGCCCAAAGCTCCGGATAATCTGGGCAAGGGGCGCATAAAGATGTTAAAAGCATCGGGAAGAGAATTGCGCCCTGCGGCACTCCACACACCAAGGAGTGGCACGACGACATTTCCCTCCCTAGTGCCACCCTCTGTCCCCGACCAGAGATAAAAGAGCACAACCAGTTACGGGCTATGCCCTGTATCCCCACGTCTGCGAGGCGGTGGTCCAGAAGATCATGATCGACCATGTCAAAGGCTGCTGACAAATCTAAAAGGATCAGCAGTCCTGACCCGCCTCGATCCAGTTGTCTACGGAGATCATCTGTTAGGGCAACCAGAGCCGTCTCCGTCCCAAAACCAGGACGGAAACCGGACTGAAATGGATCTAATGCCGATGTTTCCTCCAGAAACCTACCAAGCTGTTCAGCAACCGCTCTCTCAATTACCTTACCCAGGT